GAGAAATGGGGCCAGCAGGAAGAGAAAACGCAGTTCCCGCCTCCTCAGGGAGGGGTCTCAGGATGACGGTGAGGGGAAACTGAGGCTGGAGGAGCTGAAGGTCAGCTCAGCAGTTAGGTCTCCTGTCTCAGTGCTCTCCCGCCAGGTCGGACTCTGCGTCCTGCACAGAGCCCAGCGCCTGACGGGTATTTCCTGACGGGTTCACCACACGACAGGTACAGCCAGATGGCTCAACAACGGGACAATATCGGCGTCTCTGGGGTGTCTCCTGAATGGTGGTGGTCAACCCTGGCTGCACCTTAGAATCACCTGAGGAGACCTTAAAAAGGATGCCCAGGGCCTGTTTCCGGAGACTCTAATCCAGCTGATTGGAGGTAGGGCCCTGTGCCAGTGTCAGAAGCTCTCCATGCCATTCCAACGTCCAGCTAGATTGAGAACCACTGACCTAAAGAAGGCCCAGTGTCTGAAATGCAATATCCCCAGGCTGGGTTCCCTTTGCTGACAATCACACCGATAGCAGACTGTGCCTCAGTTTGCCCACCTGTGAAACAGACTCATCACCTACAAACCGTCGGTCATCCAGTGCCTTGGTCCCCGGACCAGCAGCACCTGGGGGCTTGTTGGAAACGCAGAATCTCGGCCCCATCCCAGACCTACTACATCCGAATCTGCATTTAAACAAAACCCTGTGTGATTCCTATGCACATCCAAGTTGGAGAACCACTGATCTAGCGAACACTACATGCTTGGCACGTTTAAGAAAGGTCTGATTAGCCGGGCATGGTAGGAGGCTACCACTCGGGAGGCTGAGGCAGGAGGATTGCTTGAGCCTAGGAGTGTGAGGCTGCAGTGAGCTATGATGATGCCCCTGCACCTTAGTGCGACTGACAGAGAGAGACCCTGTCTCAAAAATATAAAAATAAAAACAGAAAATTAAAAAAAAGTCTGTTTAATAAATAGATCTATAGCTTATTTACAAGGATGCTAGTAAGAAAAGGCAAAAAAGAATTAGTTTGGATGTAAAAATTGAACACCATTTTTGAGCTGTGGGATTGGTGACAGGGGTCCACTGAGACCCCAGGGTCTCTGGTACTGTCATGGCTCATGAGGGCAGATCTTCTGGGTTCCTTGAGATGGTGATGTTGAGTCTGGCTGGGAAGGGTTAAAGGATCTTTGACCTTCTCCCACCCCTACTTCCCACCACATGCGGGCTGCACCCTAGCTTGGCAGGAAGCTTGCAGACCTCTGCTGCGGAGTGTTAACCACATCAGAGGTTGCCTCTCTCCCTTCCTTGCCACAGGCTCCCATCATCGAAGCCCAGGCAGCAAGAGCAGTCAGCCAGGGAGAGCAATGACCAAAGACAGCTGCTGGGAGCCGTGCTCGTGGGGCACTTCACACGCTGGCCCCTTTGCTGCCAGCATCACTAAGCCGGGTCTTAGAACTTGTGTGTGGAGGCTGCGGCCAAACCTGACCACGTGAGGGGCATCTCAGAGGCCGCTGAACCGGGGGTCTGAAGTGGATGGAGCTGAGCGTGGCCCTTGGGGAGAAAGGGGAGGCAAGGGCTCTGCAGGCCAGGCCAGGACCGCTGGCCAGGAAAGGGACACAAGCGCACTTTGCGAGGAGATGAAGGCAAGTGCGAAGGACATCCCTGCAGGTGTTAAAAGGGAACGTGGGGTTTACCGCGCCGTGCCTCTGCTTCCTTCTCTTGTACCTCTTGCGTTTGGGTGGCGAACGGCCGTGAATTATGCTGCTTGGAAAGCCCTGCTCCACCCCACACCCCCTTGGCTTCAGAGAGGAGCAGCGGGGCCTGAGAAAGCCCAGACACGGTGTTGGTGTCCTCTGGGCCTTGTAGTCAGGGGGCCGTCAGGGGCTTGGGGCAGCTTTGCACCAGCACAGCCATGCTTTCACCGGCCGCCCAGGAGGCCTGAGTACCCACATCCAGCCCTTGGTAATAGCCTTCAAGGAAGGGGGTCTCTCCTTGGCTCTCACAAAAGCCAGAGCTGCGGGTAATGCAGAGGGGCGAGTGGTGGCCTATGGGGACATTTAGATTTCTAAATACCCGACCCACAAATGCTCCACCCAGGCAAATGGCTGGCATCTGACATGTGGGGAGGGGGGCATGAGCTGCCCTAGAGCCTCAGAATGAGAGCTCTGTCTGCTCCTGGGGGTTCCCTTCTTGCTCTGGACTGCAGCTGTCCTCAGGCCCATGGCCTGGGAGAAGGGAGAGGGGGGGCTTCTAGTGCCTTCCTCTTAACACATCCATTTCTCCGTGATGGCCGAGGGCCCCCCAAGCACCAGGCACTTTGCAGACACCAGGATGCAGAGACTGCTCGCCCTCCTAGAGCCCTGGCTGGCCAGGGTGGGCAATAGCACTTTGTCACTGTGTGTTCATGCTGTCATTGGTTGAAGTTCTGATCCTTCCTCCCTGCAAACCTCTTCAGGACAAAGCTGTGTCATTTATCGACCACTGGATCCTCAGCCTTGAGGCTGGTGCCTGGCACACACAGATACGCAGTAAATACTAGCAGGGTGACTGAATGTTTGTGGCTACAGGCGACAGGTGCTGGGACAGGGGACGGCTGGGTGCTTCCTGGAAAGTGGGGCCCCAGCACCACCTGAATGAAGCATGAGTGTGATTCGCCCTGGCAGAGGGGTGGGCGTTTGGGGCGGGGCGGGAAGTAAATTCTGGACAGGAAGAGAGTCTGTTTACCCAGGGTGCAGCAGGAGAGGAGGTACAGCCTGGCTGGAGGGTGGTGGTGGGGGGAGTGGGGAACAGGATGTGGGGGTCCCAGTTCTCCTATGCCCCAAAGACAAGGTGGCACCTTTGGGTCTCCTGAGCTGGCCCCAAAGCCTCTATCACTCATGGCAGAGCTATCATTGAGCCACTACGTGGGGTAAGTGGGTTTGTGAGGTCTAGGAGGACCCGGGACTGTTGCGTGCCAGTGGCAAGGCCTGGGCAGAGTGGGAAAGGAAGATTGTCATGTGTGTGGGGGTTACTCGTGCCCCTCCCCGAGGGCCCAGCTCATCGCCAGCAGCACAAATAGGAAGGTGTACGGAGAGCCAGTGTGTGCGGGTTCCCAGCAGGCGCTCAGAGATCAAGTTCTGACCGACGGCTGAATCGGGTCTAGAACTCCTGTTTCCCAGCTGTCGATTTAGTGCCTTTCCCCTACCCCCATGTTTGCCAAACTGTGTCTCTCAGCACACTAATCTCACAAGAGTTCCTAGCTGAGGAAAGCGGCGAGGACTTTGCTGAGTTAACGCAGCCGAACAGGGTCGCTCCCTGCTGCACATGCGGAGGCTGTCCTAACTTGGAGGCTGATGGAGAAGCGAGAGCAGGGCCACGGAGCCCCTTCTGGGGCTGAGCGTTTCCCGAGATTGATGCTCCACTGGACACTTGTAAGGCTGCTCTTTCCATGGCCTGATGTGGGGTGGGCCCTGCAGCCAGCCGCCCTCCCCGCTGCCCTGTGTCTGTCTGCACTGGGTCTGGCTGGGTCACTTGGAGCTGGCAGCCACTGTCTAGAACTCTTGCCCCATCCTGGCCCTTCTTTGAAAAACAAAACCCAAAGCCAAGGCCACAAGCTGATCTTGTCCCTGACTCCCCTGTGCGGGGTGGTCTGTGGCAGACAGACTTCTCCCTGCCCGTCACTCTCTACGCTCTCCCAGGACATTCCGGCCTGCGAGGAATATGCCCGATGTGCAAATCCCTCAGGTAATGCGGGAATTCGTCACCAGGGGAGCGCGGGCGATCCAGGAATGGGAACCCGATCAGGGCCTGGAGCAGGAGAGAAGCAGCCTGGGCTGGCCCGGGAGAGCTCATGTTGCAGTGGGCGAGACACAGGTGGAAGAGGAGAGGGTGGGCGGGGACGGAGCCCTGCGGGGCCCCGGCAGCAACTTCCCCAGCTTTCAGGGAAGAGATGGCAAACCACGAACCAAGTGCGACACAAGGGGGACAATGCCCTGGTTTACACCTGCTGTCTGGGCACAATGATGAACGGATTCCCTGTTCGCTGGCAGAAGTCTTACAGTTTGGATGCTCTATAACATGGTCGCCCCAGGTAAGACAGACCTGCGGGGTGTCTGCAGCTCTGTAATTAACTTTCATAACTTCCCAGTCACTGTTTTACCTTGCCTGGCCTGGCAGCTCGATTTGTACTTCAAGTCTCTAAAGTACCAAGTAGGAGGAGACATGGCTTTCCCCCAGCCACGACTTCCAGGGTGGTCCCAGGGCCTGGTGTGGCCACCACGCTATGCGTCCTGCTCTCTCTCCCTGATGCCATCAGTTCACCTGCTACCACCCACGACAGAAGAGCAGGTACTTGCGAGATGAAATGGTGCCGGGCTCGGTCTAAGTGCACACGCCCACGCCCACGCCCACTACACGCTTATGCCCATAAAACCACTGCGGGATGCTGGTCCCCATGGGGAAGCAATGAGCAGGGGTGGGGTTAAGCTCTGGGGTGAGGGGATATTAAGTGGGACAGACAAGCTTACATTGCCACGCTTCCTCTCTGCCTAGGAGCCCCAGCGTCTGGGCAGACTGTCCCTTTCCAGCTCCTGCGTGGCATTGCTCAAACCCGTCTCAGTACCAGCTACAACCAGTTGCACAGCTGCAAACGTATAGCAGGAGGAGGAGGAAGAGAGACGTCCACAGCAAGTTTGTGTCTGCCCAGACATAGAGAGGTCAAAGCACAGGCCAGGCTCAGACTAAGAGCCGGGCCTCTTATCATGAAAATAGAAAGAGGGAAAGGCTGGTTCAACACAAAGCACCTATAAAATTATATTGGTGCATTGTTACCATGGAGCACGCACACAAACACACACAAATCTGGCCACGCATCCCCGGCCCCTCCACCGCTTTGCTGTTTTCTATAATTACCCGGGCAAGGGGAAACTTGGGGAAAGTTCAACTGTGGTTAGAACTTGCAGCCTCCTCGCTACTAATAACTCCCGGACGGACGCAGAGGGGCAGGGGCGCCGGGGCAGCTGTCGTGTCCCGTTACCTGGAGCATGTTGAGGAGCAGGCTCCGGAACTTGGTGCCCTCCACCATGAAGAGCGCCATCTTGTCGCATAGCTTGGCGGCGGTGAAGGCGAAGCTGCGGTCCGACACGGCCTTCTGGTAGATGGTCCGCACGATCTCGCCCAGCATCTCCTCCGAGTTGGTGGAGTTCTGCGCCTCCTCCATGAAGGTGGTGAGCTTGGCGTCCACGTCGCTGCTGTTGTTCCGCATGCTGTTCAGGATCTCCATCAGCTTGTCCATCTTGTTCTGCTGAGGGCTGGTCGTCTCCACCGCCACTTCCTCCTGGGGGTGTGGGAGACAAACGCGCCTGCCTGAGGGACGCCCAGGTTTCCGCAGGGGGCGGCCTGGTGGATGGAGAGCTGCCACCCCCAGAAAGCGGAACTGGCCCTACCTTCTTGGGCCTGAGGTCTGGTCCCTCTGGGAATGCTTGCCGCCACCAAAGACCCCTCATCCCTAAAGCTCTTTGTTGACTTTTTGTCTTGGCCCCAGCGACATTCTGGGCTGATATTTCCTGTGAATTCTAGCTCCTACCCAGGGTTCTAGTATACATTGGCTTTTTTGGTCTGTTGGCCCATCAAATGTCTTAATCTAGAAATCTCATTTAATATTTCATCTTGTGTAAGCTCCATTAAATCAAGACAACAAACAGGAAATTGGGCCAAAAAAGAAAATGAGCATAGGAAGGCTAGGTCAGGAAGGTGGGTAAGATCTAAAATGCCTGCAGTGGTGGTTAGAAGCGGCCCAGGGAGCAGCCACCTTGTCCTCCACTTCCTTAGCTCTGAATGCCCAAGGATGGTCATGTTCTCTGGGCATAGGGTGCCATATGGACACGGCCCTGGCTTTGCATCCTCTAGAGACTGTGCTGGCCTTCTACACACAACTACTACACACCCAGGAGTCCGCCAACGTGCTGCTAAAATAGTTGGTGCTTCTAAGAGGGAAATTTCAGATAAAAAGCCCTATCCCCTTATAAGGTTTCACTGCAACTGGGACCAGACCAGGGGCTGAAGGAAGACGAAAATGGCATCTGATTGTCAAAAGTATTTACTCAAATACAGCAGAGTCGTGGCCAAGAATGTGATTGACTTAACTGCTGGGATGTGAGGTCCGGGTGGAAGGGCAGCATCATAAGGAGAGATCATAAGGTCTTAAGATGAGATTCACACTTGTCCTTCTATTCTCAACAGTATGTGCTCTGGCCTAGAAGGCACAGAACAAGGTTCTATCTCCTGCTCTCTGTTGCTCACCATGTGGCTTTGGGCAAGTGGTTTCACTCGCTAGGCCTTAGTTTCCTCAGGGGTAACATGGTAAGGACGGAAGATCCATAGTGGGGTTGAGTTCCAAGGGCAACTGGTCTCTCACTTAAGACCTGAGAGTTGAATCTGGGGTGTCTTTCTCCGTCTTCTCCTCCAGCCCCCTCAAATTCATCTATGTCCTCAAGGAACGCTAGTATGAGTCTCTGAGTTGGGTCCACAAGACACAGCTCCCCACCCCCATGGCCATCTAATGCTTTACTTGTTCCTTGAAAGGTAGAGGGAAGTGTGACTCTCCCTGATGAAAGTCTCATGTGGGCTGGCCTAGTGGCTCACCTGTTCCCAGGGTTCACCCTTTTTTAGGGTGAGTGGGCAGAGTGACCCAGCCTGAGCCTAAGCCCATGTCCTCCTGAGTGTGGACCTTGGGCCTGGCCCCTGGGGCAAAATGTTGGGGAGGATGGGGGAGAGGGAGGATGGGGGAGACGCCTGGAACCTCAAGATCTGCAGAGGTCCCAGAGGAAGACGCCACAGGTTCTGCCTGCTGCGTGGGGAGGGCTGTGGGCAAGTCGGCCTTTCTTAGGATAGCTCCTCCCAAAGGTGACCTTACCTGTGCCTTCGGCGGGCAGCAAGGGTGCGCTGCGGGGGTGAGCACAATGGACTTAATGCTGTAAATAACACATCCCCATCCCTGTCCTGGAGGCTTGGGGCATCTCTTCCTGAAGCTGTGGACCAGGCACTGGAGACCAGGCCAGGACTAGGGTGAGGAAACAGGCTCCCGGGGAGCAAGCGCCACGTGGCCTCGCCCTCTGGGTCCTGCTGGCACTGGTCAGCACGGAGAATGCCTAGTGGAGCCTCCTTACCGTTCGCACCCTAGAGCGCTCAATGGCCCCGGGGAGATGCAACAGGCCCGTCCAACTCACCTCGGCGCCCCACACTGGCAGGGCCACCGCCTGCATGGCACTCACCTCGTGAAGAAGCATCAGTCCCTCTTACTCCATAAGCTCCATGTTTCCCCAAATGCCCTTTAGCATGAACGGGGCAGTATCTAACCCAGGCCACCAAGTGCCCGCCCCGGGCCTCTTGGGGGGCCAGGAGGTGAGGGGCCAGAGTAGCTGGAGGGCCCATGCGAGGCTGGCCACAGGCCGGCCCTCTGGTGGCCCAGTGGCACCCAAGGCAGTAGTGTCACCATGTGGTGGGCCCCCGCAGCCAGCAAAGACCCTGCTTGACACAGCTCCCCAGACCCTCAAACCCATGAGGCTCTGCCCCACGCCCACCTGCCAATGTGCCTACCTCTCACTGTCCTCCCTGCTGCAAGAGAAAAACGAAACTTCAATTACCGGTACCTTTTCTTTTAGCCTCCGCCGCAGTCTGTCTTTGGAAGACTGGAGCAGGGTAATTTTGGGCCGCTCCCCGATGCGCTCGGGAAGAATACTGTCTTTACGCTTTGTCTCGGCCTCCGGTGCTCCCGGCTGCTGCGGGGGCAGCCTCTCAGAAGCTGCCGGGGCCAGGACGTCAGGGCTGCGGGGGGACTCAAGGCTGCCGTGCCCGGTGTCTCCCGGGGTGTCCTCAAGTTTTGGGCTCTCGATGGTCACAATCTCTTTGGCATTGCGGTGGGTGCCTGCCTCCCCCTTGTCGCCTGGTGGGTGCTTCATGTTGCCGTGGTGCCAGCGCCGGTTCTGGCTGTAGCCATGGTGGGTGGGCCTCCCTGAGGGATGAGGTGCTGAGCCCCCCTGGTAGGATTTCTGGTGGTCCCTGTTGTGTTTGGCGCTGCCCGGCTGATGGTCACCATGCTGTTGGGGCTTGTTCCCTCCCGGAGGTCTTTGCTGTCGTCTGCAAATTGAAGGGGAGAGACAGAGAGCGGGACCGCTGAGTGGGCCGGTCAGGTGCCTGCACCTGGACACTAGAACAGGAAGTCACTGCCTTGTCCATCCATTCATTCATTCTTCCAACAAACACTTCCTGAGCACCTCCTACGTGCCAGGCTTTGTGACAGGGCCTGGGGCTACGGCAGAGAACAGCCAGTCAGGTCCCTGCTTTGTAGAGGATTTAAGTCAATCCTTCACTTAAAATCAGTACTTTATTCACTTAGCACAATATGCACGCAGCACACATGTGGAACAAAATTAAATACAGTGAACCCTCCTGCCTCTGACCCCACCACCAGTTACATGCTCTGGAAGCACCTGTTCCCAGATCACGCATCTTCCAGACATACCCTATGCATGTACCAGCAAGGAAACATACACAGACGTGCATCCCATAATCACCATCTCATTGATGACTTTGCACCACAGTGCTTTTTGAAAAGTGATATCACTTTTCAAACAACTTTTTTTGATACATTGACATTGTCACCCCAAACCCACTAACTAAATATACTATAAGAAGTTGTTATGGGCTAACTTATGTCCCTCTCACCCTTCCCTCAAATTCATAAGTTGAAGCCCCAACACTCAGTCCTTCAGAATGTGACCATATTTGGAGACAGGGCCCTTAAAAAGGTGATTAAGTTAAAATGAGGCTGTTAGGGTCGGCTCCTAACTGGTGTCCTTATAATAAGAGAAAATTTGTGCACACAGAGACATCAGGGATGCCATGTACAGAGAGGAAAGACCACGGGAGGACACAACAGGAAGGCAGCCGTCTGCAAGCCAACAAGAGAGGCCTCAGAGGAAACCAACCCTGAGGACACCTTGATCTTGGACTTCCAGGTTCCAGAATTGAGAGAAAATAAATGTCTATTGTTTAAGCCACCCAGTCATCAGCACTCTGTTACAGCAGGCCTGGCAAACCAATACGGAGGGGATATTTAACACAACGGTTTTGTGTAAAGACAGGCTCACCAATTTACTTGCCGACGCTGTCTAGGCAGAGAATAGCCTACGGAACAAATGTGAGTTGTGCACCATGGGGTGGACCCCAAACGTTTCGATTTGTGGACTGAATGCAAGTGAAGGGGTGGGGAGGGACATTCTCATGATCCTTCAGGCTGGCGCGAGGGCTGCTTCCGGCCACTGGAAGCATCCTTGTGCTCAATCTCCATCTCACCCTCAGCGTGTTGTCCCTGTCGTAACTTTACCGGGAGTGCAGCTGAAGAACAAGGTAACCATGCGCCCCTCAAAGGTTGCAAAGTGGTGAAGAAAATTTGCAGAAAGAAGATGTTACCTTCTAAAGAATGAGCCCCACACCTCCTCTGTGACTTGTCTTGGGGACCATAGACCTACACTGCATCGTATTTTACGAACAAACTGTATTTCTTTACTTTCAAATTACTGCTTATTACTTATATAAACTCAATGTCAATGTTCACTTGAAACATTTTTATCTGTGAAAATTTGGGGGTATCTTAGGTTGGGGTTAAACATAGTATTGTTTTCCCATTAAAATTAATGAAAAGTTTTTTTTTTTTCATTGAAAAGCTGTCACTGAAAAACTTGGTGGTGGAGCTTTCAGGGGGAATTACAATAGCTAAGTGAGGGACAGATTCAAGAGTCTTCTTTTTGTTTCCACGTAACACACGGTATATTAGGAATAGAAATTAGTACAATCTTTCCGAAGGGAAATTTGACAATTTGTTTCAAAAGTCTCTAATACATGCAAACCATCAGACCCTGCAATTCCACTGTGGCAACGTGTCCAAAGGAAATAATCAAAGATGTGCAAAAGGATTTAGGCACAAGGATGTTCATCAGAGCAAAAACCCAATGTGGAGTAATCAAAGATATGGCAAAAAAGCTCATGCTTGCTGGTGGGAGTGTGGTGTCTTTTTAAGGCAAGTATTCATATGCACCGGAAAATCTGGAAGGATGCGCACCAAAATGCTCATAGTGGTTATCTCTGGAAGACGGGATGTGGATTTTTCTTTCCGATTTTCTAAATGAACATGATTTTATTTTCTTCATCAAACTTTTCATTGTGAGGCAATTATAGAGTCACATGAGTTCTAAGGAATAATACAGAGAGATCCCTTGTACTTTTTAACCTCCCAGTAACGTCGTGCAAAACTATACAGTACAGTACCACTACCAGGATATCGACATTGACGTGGTCAAGATATAGAACATTCCCATCACCACGAAGGTGCCCCTGTTGCTTTTTTATAGCCACACCCCCCTCCCTCCCACCCCCAGGCCCTCGGTCTCTGGCAACCCCCCAACTGTTTTTCATTTAGAATTCTGTCATTTCAGAGTGTTGTATAAATGCAGTCGTCCAGCATGGAACCCATTGGGATTGGCTTTTTTCACTTAGCATAAGTCCCTGGAGATTCATCTAGATTGTGGCTTGTGCCAAGAGTTCGTTCCTGTTGGTTGCTGAGTCGTATTCCGTGCTGTGGATGTTCACTGAAGGGCGGCCGGGTTGTTTCCCATTTGGGGCTGTGATGAACAGAGCTGCTAGGAACACTCGTGTACAGGCTTTTGTATGAACGTAAGTTTTCATTCCCTGGCATAAATGCCCAGGAGTGCCACTGCTGGATGGTATGGTGGTTGTATTTTTAGTTTTCAAAGAAATTCTCACACTGTTTTCCAGAGAGGCTATACCACTCTACCTTTCTGCCAGCAACGCAGGGAAACTTTTAGCCATGGTTTCTTTGAGTGATTCTTTTTCGCCCCACCCTTCTTCTCCTCTCCTTTTGGGACTCTGATGGCATGCGTGTCAGATTTTTAGTTACAGTCCCACAGGTCCCTGAAACTCAGGTCACTCTCCCCACTTGGCCCCTGTGACGCCACCCTGGTGGGGGGCCGGGGTACCTCCTCTCAGTCTAGGCCCCTCCCTGGGCCTCCGCTGGAGTGGTGGGTAGGGGTGGGGCCGCAGCTCTTTCTGGGGTTTTGGCTGGAGTAGAGCAGTTATTATCTAAGGTTTCCTGTCTTGCTAGGCTGCCCCCGTCCTGGTCCTTTGGCTAGAGCTAGCAGGCTTCTGCCGGGGCTCCCTTAGTCTGCCTGTGCCTAGCGTCATTTCTGGGTTTCCAGTTTCTTTAGCTCCAAGTCTGGGATAAACGAGCCAAGAAGAAAACTCAAGGAACTCACGACTGGGCCATTCTGCAGCCAAGGTCCCCAGCCTGGCTGTCTGCTTCCCATCTTTCCCAGTCTTCTTGTGTTTGTTTTTATGTATAATGTCCAAGGGTTTTCGTTGTCTGTACTTATTTTAATAATTTAAGAGTCATTATAAAAATATCTCTCAAAGTCTGGCACACGGAACTGAATCCTGCTGCCCGGGTGTGCCCTCCTCAGGGGCCTGCATGGGATTTCTCACCCTTGTTGTCCAGGTGTGCTCTCGTGGGCTCTGGAGCACATTCCTGGTCAAGGGCAATGCTGACACCCCCCATCGCAAACCCCCCGCACCGACTGGCACTCCACAGCCCTCAGTTTCACTCCCCACTGTACGACAGCAGGGCAAGGACCGCCAGCACCAGCGCCCGGTGGAGAGTCGGTCCCACCGGCAAAGTGGGGCCCTTGAGTCCAGCGACTCTATACCCAACTGGCCAGAGGGCCCAGACCTAAACCCAGATGCCTTGGTCAGTTCAGAAGGCTGCGGCCCTCGCTCTGAGGAGTATAAACCAAGCACGCTGGGAAAGCACAGAACAAACTCTATGGCCCACACACAACTTCCTAGGGTGCCACGCGCCTGTGACTTGCTGTGAATTCTCCCTCCTTTAATTTTTCAATTACTTTCAACTAATTTCTCCTTCCATTCTCTTTGCTCTTTGAATGTGAGTTATTTTTACACCCAGAGAGGAAGCTTGGAAATTCCCTGGAAGATAATGATTGATTCTCACAACTTCTGTCATCCTTATTTAGAACTTTTGTGGCGCCGAGAGCTACGGCCCAAGAAATGCCCCCAAGGATGGTTGACCAAGCCCTTCTCAACATCCGTCTCAAAACTATCTGGTTTCCCACTTGCCATACCAGGGATTTCCCTCTCTCTGCCCAGTGCCCCCGCCCAGAAAAAGGAAACAACTTCTGTCCACCTAGAGGAGGAAGGAGGTAATTTCTGCATGGCTGGTGGGTGATCAAGGGCTCCAGAAAGAAATCAGCTAGGTCTTGCAAGAGCTTCTGCTGTTTGTTCCTAGAAGTTCTGGGGGTCCTGGAATTCCATGTCTTCGTGGTTCAGAAGACCTCGCAGCAATCACCAAGAATGCTTCGGGCTGCCTGGCATTTGTGGCTGTTGTCAGACTCACTCCTGCTGGGTGGAGGCTCCTTTGCACATGAGTAGGACCATCCGTAGGTGGGAGGGGAAACCAGGGAGTCCACCCCACGTGTGCCCTCCTAGCTGGGCAGGCAACATTAATAATGGAAGGGCCCAGAAACCATGGGAAGGGGAGGCGCAAGGCCTTGTTCTCTTACCTCCCTTTACCGCCTCTCTGCACAAGGTCCTGCTTAGTTCTCGGGGCAAGTGATTGCTAAGACTAGCCTCTGCGTGCAGGCAGGTCAAAACTTTCCTTCCCATTCTACAGGTAAGCCAACTGAGGCTCGGTGAGGTGAGGGCCTTCCAGAGGCTCCCGGGAGAGAGCGTGCCAACCCAGTCAACTCACCACGGCACGTGGTGGCCACCCCTTGTCTGTCTCTTATCCTCTTTGAGATCCAGCCTCCCCAGCAGAGAAGTGTTGAACTACGGCTGAGACCTCTGCGGTGGCAACCACACACGGCCCACGTTCTTGGCCTGGGAAGTGGCGGAGAGGGCCGCTGGAACCACGGGCACAGACTTGGGACTGGGCCTCATTCCCCAACAATGGAGACCCAGGCTTCCCCGCTCCGGCCATTCACAAATATTTGTCAGCAGCGGTTGGCTGGGCTGGCCAAGACCAGCTCCTCGCTCTTCTGCGTTTGCTGGCG